GACCACGATCAGATATAATACTAGAGGGAGCTCCATGAAGTCTGAGGGTATGCTCAACATATAGATCTGCTAACTTTTTCGCATCGGTCTTGGTCTTAACGGGTACAAATTGAGCAACCTTGGTCAAATGATCTACAATCACCCAAATAGAATCATTGCCTTTCTGTGAACGGGGCAATCCAACTATGAAATCCATGGATATGCTCTCCCATTTCCACTCGGGAACGTCAAGAGGCTTTAACAATCCTACAGGCCTTTGATGTTCAGCCTTGACTCTATTATAGGTGTCACATCGTGCCACATGTCCCTCAATATCTGTCTTCATGACTTTCCACCAAAAGTGTTTCTTCAAGTCTTGATACATCTTTGAACCTCCAGGGTGAATACAGTACTTAGAATCATGAGCTTCTGACAGATTTTCCTCTCGTAGTGCTGGCTCGGAAGGGACACAGATTCTGTCCTTGAACCAGATGGTTCCTTGTTCATCTTCATGGTGGTTGGTCTTGTAGCCTAGTTTCATCAGACCACGGAGACACCCAATTTCTTCACAATTTTTCTGAGCTTGACGGATGCGATCTGTGAGATCATACTATATGCGGAGCTCATTCAACAAGCCATGCGATAGTATCTCAAGTTGGAAATCATCAATCTCTTCCTTAAGCTCAGGTGGTACGAATTCTGTGATCATAGTGTGACAGTAACTCTTGCGACTGAGAGCCTCTACGACTACATTAGCTTTTCCTGGATGATAGTGAATTTCTAGGTCATAGTCCTTGATCAATTCTAGCCATCGGTGTTGCCTCATATTCAGATCTTCCTGAGTGAAAAGTACTTCAAACTCTTATGATCGGTGTAGATATCACACTTGTTGCCTATCAAGTAGTGCCTCCAGATCTTCAAAGCATGCACAACTGCTGCTAACTCAAGATCATGAGTAGGGTAACGGTTCTCGTGTTCTTTCAACTGTCGAGAAGCATAAGCTATCACTCTTCCACCTTGCATCAATACATAGCCAAGTCCTTGATGGGATGCATCACAGTAGACCACGAAATCTTTACTAATATCAGGCAATGCTAGCACAGGAGTTGTGGTAAGCTTCTGTTTTAATTTCTGGAAGCTTTGCTCGCACTCGGGCGTCTATTCAAACTCCTTGGTCTTCTTCAGAAGGTTGGTCATCAGATGGGCTATCTTGGAAAAGTTCTCGATGAATTGGCGGTAATATCCAGCCAATCCCAAGAAACTTCTGACTTCAGTCACGTTACGAGGTTGATCCCACTCTTTCACAGCTTCAATCTTGGCTGGGTCAACTGCAACACCTTCAGCTGATAATACATGGCCTAGGAAGGCAACTTCCTGTAGCCAAAACTCACATTTGCTGAACTTTGCGTAGAGCTAATGTTGGGCTAGTTTCTCAAGCACAGTTCTCAGATGATGTTCATGTTCTTCAGCGATGGGTGAATAGACAAGGATGTCATCAATGAATACTACCACAAACTTATTCAGTTCATCCATGAAAACTTTATTCATCATGTTCATGAAGTATGCGGGAGCATTCGTGAGTCCAAAGGACACCACAGTGGGAGGGCAAGCGGGCGCGAGTTGGGCCAAACAGGCTGGCTCGCAAGGCCGAGCAGGCCTGGGCTGCTGCGGCTCCCTCCTTTTCCTTTTCCTTTTCTGTTTGTTTCTCTTTTCTTTCTTTTGCTTCAAGTTTCAAATGGGTCCCACAAGGTGTTTCAAATGGTGGTCAAAATACATCCCATATATTAGGGTTTATCATAAATATTAAGTAAGTTAGTTAAACATCACATAAGGCAAAAGAATCCAAATCACAAGTGGAATTAAGGATGCATGTATGATTTATTTATTTAGAAATTTAATTACACATGTGGCATAAAACCAAGCTATGCTTATGATTTTAACCTAGTTGGGTCACATCTAATCCAAAACTAGGGTTTGGCTTCTACATGTGTCACTTAACATCACATAGGGTTTAAACAAAAAATTTTGTAGTTGTGATTTTTGGTGTGTGGATTTTTGGGTTGTTACAGTGGCAAAGAAGACTGCAAAACGAGCGGTAAGTGTGGCAAAGGATAGAGCGTACGAGGATCTTTACCACCGTTTGAGTATGAAGGAAGGAGAGAAGGACATTTATAGGATGGCTAGGGTTCGTGAGAGAAAGACAAGGGACTTCAACCAAGTTAAGTGCATTAAGGATGAAAGGGAGCATCTCTTGGTGAAGGAGGATGAGATCCGACATCGATGGCAAGAGCATTTTGACAAATTATTCATTTGTGAGAATACGGACACAACCTTTCAGTTGGATGACTCTTTTGATGACACCAATAGACGCTTTGTGTGGAGAATCCAAGAATATGAGGTCAGAGAGGCGTTGAAAAAGATGAAAGGAGGTAAGGCGATGGGACCATATAGTATCCCAATCGAGATGTGGAGATGCCTCGGGGACATAGCTATAGTATGACTAACCAAGTTGTTCAACCATATTTTTCGATCGAACAAGATGCCTAATGAGTGGAGGAGAAGTATATTGGTACCGATCTACAAGAATAAAGGGGATATTCAAAGTTGTACTAATTACCGGGAAATTAAGTTGATGAGCAATACTATGAAGCTATGGGAGAGAGTTATCGAGCATCGCTTGAGAGCAATAACGTGGGTCTCTATAAATCAATTTGGTTTCATGCCCGGAAGGTCAATCATGGAAGCCATTTTCTTAATAAGACAAGTTATGGAGCGGTATAGGGAGAAGAAGAAGGACCTACACATGGTGTTTATTGACTTGGAGAAGGCTTATGATAAAATATCAAGGAATGTTATGTGGTGGGCTTTGGACAAACATAAAGTCCCAACGAAGTACGTCGGGCTCATTAAGGACATGTACAACAATGTTGTCACTAGAGTTCGAACAAGTGATGGAGACACGGATGACTTCTCGATTAGGATAGGACTACATCAAGGATCAGCTTTGAGCCCTTATTTGTTTGCCTTAGTGATGGATGAGGTCACAAGGGACATACAAGGGGACATCCCTTGGTGTATGCTTTTCGCGGATGATGTAGTGCTAATTGATGAAAGCCGGACAGGAGTGAACCAGAAACTGGAGCTATGGCGGGAGACTTTAGAGTCAAAAGGTTTTAGACTCAGTAGAACTAAAACTGAGTATATGAGATGTGATTTCGGCACTACTACTCGGAAGGAGGAAGATATTAGTTTGGAAGGTCAAGTAGTGCCTAGGAAGGATATATTTCGATATTTAGGATCAATGCTACAGAGAGACAAGGATATTGATGAAGATGTTAGCCATAGAATCAAAGCGGGGTGGATGAAGTGGCGGCAAGCATCTGATGTCCTATGTGAGAAAAGGGTACCACAAAAGCTAAAAGGCAAGTTTTATAGGACGGCGATTAGACCTGCTATGTTGTATGGTGCAGAATGTTGACCTATGAAAAGACGACAAGTTCAACAGATAAGTGTCGCGAAAATGCGTATGTTGCGTTGGATTTGCGGTCATACAAGAAGGGATCGAATTCGGAACGATGATATACGTGATAGATTAGGAGTAGCACCAATTGAAGAAAACCTTGTCCAACACCGGTTGAGATGGTTTGGACATGTCCAACGAAGACCTCCAGAGGCACCGGTGCGTAGTAGAATCCTAAGCCAGGATAGTAATGTGAACAGAGGCAGAGGAAGACCGAAGTTGACTTGGATAGAAGCAATAAAAGGAGATTTGAAAGGATGGAATATACCTAAAGACTTAGCCTTAGATAGGAGTGCTTGGAAGACAGCTATTCACGTGTCTGAAACTTGATTGCTTCTGCTGGGTTTCAACTCTAGCCTACCCCAACTAGTTTGGGACTTAAAGACTTTGTTGTTGTTGTTGTTGTTGCTGCTGCTTAGTTTTGATGCCATTATTGTTGTTGTGGTGTTCATTTTGTCATGTTGCTGAGTTGTACCATATGCGGGCTCTGACTCTGATCATAATATGCTGGAGAATTAGAAACATGTGTATCCATTGCTCATCTTCATAATAGTATATCAGTTGCTCATGATTTTTAATCTTTGCCGCGCTTCTATTAGATTTGCTAATCTAGTTTTGCAACTCAGCCTCTTGAGTGTGGCACGCAGTATTCTTGGCAGGCAATGACCACACAGCTGCCCAGCTGAGTGCGCTTTCGGTCTAAACAGTAGTAGCAGACTCCCAAATCATGGCCTTGGATTGAACCGTACCCCTCTATTTTAAATTATAATTCATTTCAACTTTCGAGTCAAAACATCTTAAGTTCGACCAAATTTATATAATAAAAAAATAACATTTATGATACTAAATTTATATAAGTATTGTTATATTCTTCATTAATTATATTTTTATAGTATATCCCATATTTGATGTCATAATTCTTCGTAATTATCTCTATAATTTTAAATTTGAGATGTTTTGACTCTCCAGAAAAGTTGGAATGACTTATAATTTAGAATTGTTAGAGTAGAAGGCTAAATTACAGTACGGTGTGGCTAGCGCCGGGGCAGGGAGCTGCCTCACGCCGCGCGCTGGCAGGGCTGGTAGCCGAGCGCCGTGACTCGCAGGCGGCTGCGCACCTGGCAGGGCTGGCAACCACGCCGCCGCGGCTCGCAGGTAGCCGCGCACCGCATCTGATAGGGCTGGTAATCGAGCGCCACATGCGGGAGCGGAGCCGACGCCACGTGCGGCAGCGAAGCGGAGCCCATCGAGGCGTGCAGGAGTTGATTTTGGTTTTTTTAGTTGAGCGGCACACATGGTAGTGAGTGGAGTGAGATGTCCGATCTTCTTTTGAACGTTTTATGGTAGCATTACATTGGAAATGTAGTCGAGGAAGGTTACAAAATTACAGGAGGAAAGACGATACACAGGCCTTTCTATAAGTTGATCAACTGTAAGATCGTTTAAAGCAATTGAATTTTAGCATCTTGATTATTTGAATTTGAATAAAGGAGCAACACCAATGCGCCACGGTAGCAGCGCGGTGCCGCCGCCACCTAGCGCTCGTCTGCACGCCGTTGCACTCCTGGCCGGCCTCGCCCGCCGCGCGACGACGCCGGCGGCGGCGAGGCAGCTCCAAGCGCAGCTCCTCGTCCGGGGCCTCCCTCTCCCCGCCCGCGCCGCCGTCGCCCTCATAGCCTCGGCCCATTCTCCGCGCCACGCCCGCGCCGTCTTCGACAGCGCCGTCCCCGCCGCCTCCGAGAACGTCTACCTCTGGACCGCCACCATCGCCGCTTACGCCAGGCACGCCTCGTCCTCGCCGTCGGCGGCCGAGCAGGCGCTCGCGCTGTTCCGGCTCATGCTTCGGCGCGGCGTCCCTCGCCCGAACGCCTTCACGGCGAGCTCCGTGGTCAGGTGCTGCTCGGCGCTGCGGGCCGTACGAGTGGGGATCCAGGTGCAAGGGTTCTTGGCGAATGCCGGACTCGGACGTGCAGCGCACGTGGGCGCCGCGTTGGTTGACATGTACGGCAACCTTGGTCGGGTGGCGGATGCGAGGAGGGTGTTCGACGAAATGCCTACCGCAAGCGTGGTCCTGGGGAATACCATGGTGGCGTGCTACGTCAGGGCAGGGGATGTGGAGGCCGGGCGGGCTGTGTTTGACAGGATGGTGGAAAGGGACCCAATCTCTTGGAACACGCTGATGATGGGGTACTTGCGGCAGGGGGAAGCAGGTGCGGCAAGGGACTTGTTTGAAGAGATGTCAGACAGGAATGTGAACAGCTGGAACATGGTGATTGCTGCATGCTCGCAGGAGGGGTCGTGGGCTGATGCGGTCGCAGTGTTCAATCGGATGCGCCTCACAAGGTTCCAACCTGATCCCGCTACGATGGCGGTGCTGATGTCCGCCTGTGCACAGCTTGGTTCTCTGTCAGTTGCAAGTCAGGTGCATGGGATTTTGAGGAAAGGCTGTGTTGAAATGAACTTCCATGTGCTGAATTCATTGATTGACATGTATGCTAAATGTGGTAGTGTCAGCCAAGCTCATTTGTTGTTTGTTGAGACACGTCTAAAGGACACAGTGTCTTACAATGTGATGATCTGTGCTCTTGCACACCATGGACATGGTAGGGATGCACTTCAGATCTTTAATGAGATGGCTGAGGAAGGGTTGCAGCCAGATGCGGTCACTTTTCTTGGCGTTCTGTCAGCTTGTGCTCATGCTGGACTAGTTCATGATGGAAAGTTATACTTTGAATCTATGAGAACAAATTATGCAATTGAGCAATCCCCGGATCACTATGCGTGCATGGTGGATCTCTATGGCCGAGCTGGACTCATTGAGGAAGCATACCAGTTAGCACGGGCGATGCCAATGAAACCACATGCAGGTGTCTGGGGAGCCTTGATCAATGCCTGCAGGAAGCATTGCAATGTTGAAGTTGGTAAGGTTGCAGCGAGAGAGCTCATTGCTATTGAACCCAGGAATCCTGGAACCTATGTACTCCTTGCCAACACGTTGGCTCGTGGTCAGCAATGGGATTTTGTTGAGACTGTGTGGCAGTCAATGAGAGGAAAGGGTATTGAGAAAACGGCAGGGTGCAGTTGGCTTGAAGTGGATAATGTTGTTCATGAGTTCTTGATGGGGGAGTCCAGCCACCCTAATTCCGATGAGATTTACAGTATCCTTGAGCATCTGTATCTGCAACTGACTTAAGTTTGGTCTTTTGCTGTGAAGGAGTCTAGAGGTGATCATTTCTTATGCTGGATGCCTCCATGCATATGCAGTGTCAGGATGTACAAAGAAATTTGTATCTGCCAATTTTAACAAGTAGGAGTCTGAGATGTTGAAGGCTGGGACTTCAAATGTAAACTTCTAGGAGCAGCTGCATCAAGGATGGTTTCATTTCATAATGACTGAAGATACATGATTATTTCTTGAATTCAGTCTCTGATAGATGCATTTAAACTTCAGAAGTTCGGAGTTTTTCTGGTAACTTTCCTTCACCTTTTTTTTTCCTCGATATCTTTTGTGCAGTATTACATTTGTGGCATCTAGCTAGTGATTGTTTTCTGCTGCTGTAAGCAGATGCTCTGCAACAGAACTTTACGTAGCAAGAGCATGGTATTATTTTTCAGGACATCATGGTTCTCTCTAAAATGTTCAGACATATTATCCCATGCAGAAATTATATAGCGATGTCTCTCTTTCCAGGTACTACTCCATTACTAGTATGATTCAAGGCTTTCTTTTTGGTAGTAAGAGGGAGCACGCCGAGTCCAATTTTTGTATCAGCTCTACCTCCTCTGTGAGATGATCCGCGTCAATGGCATGGGCTGGCAATCGAGCAACTTTGGCATATGCTGAGCAACCAATCTGCAGGATTTTCCATGACCTGATGCCGTGCAAGAGCATGGTTTCCCATGAGTCCATGCAGAGCAGAGCTGAACATCCTGAAGTGGTGAAGCTCCTCCCATCCACTGAAACTCCAGACGATAACATAATGGCCGCAGTCGATTAGTCTTGTTGCCGCAGAAAACTTGGCGTCAACGGCAAATTGACGGCATCAAGGAGGCAGTGGTGACCAGTGGTGCTTGGACCTTTGATGTCAGTGGCCACTGGGCTTCAGATCAATGAAACCACATGCAGGTGTCTAGGGAGCCTTGATCAATGCCTGCAGGAAGCATTGAAATGTTGAAGTTGGTAAGGTTGCAGCGAGAGAGCTCATTGCTATTGAACTCAGGAATCCTGGAACCTATGTACTCCTTGCCAACACGTTGGCTCGTGGTCAGCAATGGGATTTTGTTGAGACTGTGTGGCAATCAATGAGAGGAAAGGGTATTGAGAAAATGGTAGGGTCGTTGGTGGGTGCCAAGCACGTCTGGAGAGCTGCCGTTCCGCCCAAGGTGAAATTCTTCTTTTGGCTCGCGTTACACGGTCGCTTGTGGACAGCCAAACGCCGGAAACGCCATGGATTGCAGCAAGAGGCCACCTGCATTCAGTGTCATCAACAAGACGAAACCACCAACCACCTGCTGGCGTCGTGCACCTTCACGCGCGAGATCTGGCACCGCCTGTTGGCGAGAGCAGGTATGCAGCACTTGGGGCCGGACCATGGATCGTGCTTGTCCGACTGGTGGCAGCAGACACGATTGGCCGTCCCTGAGATCCTCAAGCGCGGCTTCGACTCGCTCGTCCTACTCGTCTGTTGGGTCGTCTGGAAGGAGGGCAACAGGCGGACATTCGACAATGACGCTAGGTCGCCGGCTCAGGTCTTCGCCATCATCTGTGAGGAGGCCGACTCCTGGATCGCCGCCGGGTACCGGAGCTTGGCGGTGCTGTTCGCAGCAGTCAGCTAGTGGGCTACGGTGCTGCTACTTAGTCGCAAAAAAAATTGGTTTCTTAGTTAGAACGCATTTACAGCACCACCGTTTGCGCCGGTGACCTTTGTCAGTGTAACGCCGGTTGGCGGCCACGACACCTCGCCGTCGTACGCCACCGGTCTGTGTATGGACCCACTCTAACCTCTCTTAATGAAGCACGTGCCAATCACGCTTTCGAAAAAAAAAATGAAAATGGCAGGGTGCAGTTGGCTTGAAGTGGATAATGTTGTTCATGAGTTCTTGATGGGGGAGTCCAGCCACCCTAATTCCGATGAGATTTACAGTATCCTTGAGCATCTGTATCTGCAACTGACTTAAGTTTGGTCTTTTGCTGTAAAAAGGAGTGTAGAGGTGATCATTTCTTATGCTGGATGCCTCCATATGCCGTGTCAGGATGTACAACCATGAAGAAATTCGTATCCATCAATTTTAACTAGGAGTCTGAGATGTTGAAGGCTGTGACTTGAAAATTTGAAATGTAAACTTTTTGGAGCAGCTGCATCAAGGATGGTTTCATTTCATAATGACTGAAGACACAGTGCAATGTACTTGAAAATGTGGCAAATAGTGGTATTCTGCAGAATCCATGACACAGAAGGATAAAACCAAGTCAAGGTATGGTGCTGTGATATTGTGTTTATTGTGCCTAATTTATGTCAGAACTGCACATTCTTACTAACTTTCTAAAATAAAGCTGCATTGCAGAAAATATTTTATCATTTTTATGAGCAGATCAGCAGACATTGTAGAGAGATTGATAAATAGAGAGTAGCAGATATTCATAACCTGTTTGTGTTTCATATCTTTTGCGATTCAGGTTTCCATTCATCTTTAACTGCTCTCATGAGGTGGAGGTTTAGATCCTGAGTCTCTAGTGGAGCTGACATTTAGAGCTGGTGGATCTTAAGGCAGCATTAACACAGATGAATTCAGTGCTTCAGATTTCTTGATTTTATCTTGGCACAACTATGGAAACCTAAATAGAAGAAAATTTGGCACAAGAAACATGGTTATTTCTTGAATTCAGTCTCTGATAGATGCATTCAAACTTCAGAAGTTCAGAGTTTTTCTGGTAACTTTTCTTCACCTTTTTTCCCTCGATATCTTTTTTGCAGTATTACATTTGTGGCATCTAGCTAGTGGAATATTGTTTTCTGTTGCTATAAGCAGATGCTCTGCAACAGAACTTTGCATAGCAAGAGCATGGTATTATTTTTCAGGACATCATGGTTCTCTCCAAAGTGTTCAGACATTGTATCCCATGTAGAAATTACATAGCGATGTCTTTCTTTCCAGGTACTCCATTACTACTATGATTCAAGGCCTTCTTTTTGGTAGTGAGAGGGAGCACGCCGAGTCCAAAGTTTGGTATCAGCTCTACAGCTCTACCTCTACCTCTTCTGTGAGATGATCGGCGTCAATGGCATGGGCTGGCAATCGAGCAACTTTGGCATATGCTGAGCAACCAATCTGCAGGCTTTTCCATGACCTGATGGCTGATGCCGTGCAAGAGCAGGGTTTCCCATGAGTCCAAGTTGCTTGTTCGAAAGCTAATTCGCGTGTAGGCAGCGCTGTCTGTCTACCGGTGACTATATCATAGCCCCCAACTATTTAGGGTGGACTACTTCACTCCTCAAACTATAAAATCGGATTTTCTTTCCTCTGAACTTTCCAAAACCGATCAAATAACCCTCAGACGGTTTTGGACGGTGGTTATGTCTTTTTCTTTTTTTATTTATTTATGTTGAATCTTTGAAAAATCATAGAGCATCACAGAAAAATTATAAAATGGAAAATCTAATTTTGTTGGACTCTACATGAGTAGATCTACACAGTGAACATATAATATGGTATGCTTTAGTATAAAGTTTTTGCTGTAACTTTAGATCTATACTTTTATGTAATTAAAAGGAATAATTTATAGCTGCAGCTTCTATGGTCCAATTGTGGTGAAATTTTTATGGTATACTAATTATTGTATGCTTGAATTATAGTAAAAATTTTATACTCATTGGATCAAGTATAACTTAGTTATAGATAAATCATAGATTTGTAGATGACCAATTAAGCTGAGACCAACGGCAAGCATGCCGCCGCCGTGGGTGCTGCTGGAGACTCGCAAGCAAAAACAAGCTGCCAGCAACATTTTGCACTGGACAGCGGACATGGCGAAAGAGCATTTCTTTTCCTTTTTGCAATTTTATTATTTTGAAGGCCACTTATTAGCTTTGTAGAACTCTGTGTATTTTGTGCTCACAGTGTCTTTCTGCCTTTTCAAGTTTCAAACACAGCTTGGACAACTTCGAGCGGTTCGCATCTTTCTCAATTGGAGGTTTGTTTCTTTCATCTGAGAACTGCTGGCGATTATAGCGACACTAAGGCCCCGTTTAGCAGGGCTTCTCCAGCGGCTTCAGGAGCCGTTTGGAGCCGTTTTCACCAAACGGGGTAAAATGAAACGGCTCCACCGATGAAGCCTCTAAAAATGTGCTCTCACAGAGCTTTGGGGTGGGAAGGAGCCAAAAATAGTGGCTTCTCTCCTTCTCCTCCGCAAGGCCCTAAAACACACTTTCTCGCTGAAAGCATTTTTACCAAACGGTTTACCAAAACCGCTTCAGCTCCACCGGTGGAGCTGTTCGTGGAGCTGAAGCCAAAAAAAAATGGCTTCACTGGTGAAGTGAAGCCCTGCCAAACGGGGCTTAATAATGTGATTAGCAAATAGCAAAACGGAACCATCTGACACCGAGGCTTGCCTCCAGATTCGTGTGCAACAAGGAGAGAGGACATCTGGGCTGTTAAATCAGGCTCGCGCTGCCAATTGGGCCCAGCCCATGGAGCCCATAGCGCGCTCGGTCCACTAGGGTTTTGGGGTGGCATATAAAGGCTGCGCTCCCGACCTAGCGCCACTCCCAGCGACTCCGCCACAGAAGCGGCGGCGGCGGAGCAAGAGGAGGCGAAGGCGAAGGCGAAGGCGAGGGCTCGAGGGAGGGAGAGGAGCACCAGCCATGGTGCACGTCAACTTCTACCGCAACTGTAAGCCCGCGCCGAAGATCCTCCCTCACTCCTCTCTGTTCGTTACGCTTCGTTCCCCTTTCATTTTCGTTGCTGGGGCGCCGTGATCTGGTGCCGAACGGGGGGCGCCTAGGCCTAGTGCGTCGATTTCCTGGCTAGTCGGCTGTACCTTACCTTTGTAGGACTTGTCTCGGTCTGAGCCCCCACCTGCGCTGTAGTTGCGAGGCGAGTTGAATGGTTTTGACGGCGCGACATGGAGCTCGGTGATTTAGCGTGTCCACTGCTCTTGGTGTCAGTCGATCTGATCTGAGTTTTGTAGAGCAAGGCGTTGCTCTGGATCTGATTCATGGGAAGTGATTATAAGTGGAGGTTAGCTTTGGTCTGAGATGGGCTTTGAGGCCAATTCTTTTGTTTGCTTATGTGGAGTAAAAATGTTATGGTTGAACTGTTTGGTTGTGTACATCGCCAGGTAGTAAATAGCCCTGGTATGCTCTTGCAAGGACCCCTGTTAGGCTTGCGTCAACCCAAAAAAAAATTCTATTATGGTGCCAATTTGTGTTTGTTTAACAAACAATTAAGTTGTTGGGTTATGTCACCTGATTCTTTAGTATGGTCCATGCTGCTGTCATATCTGAATGCCAAAATTAAGCATTCTATGTTAGGTCATCATGAAACTATTCGTTCAATATAATGTTCCGTTTTGTAATTAAAATTGCTCATATGTACATTTTGTAGCTTGTTTGCTCAAATGGTTACTTAATGCTCTCTAATCTGTTCATTGTGATTGAAAATGATATCTTTCAACTAGCTGTCCATTTAGTTTCTAGCTTTTTGCCCTTATTAAGCTTTTTCGTATGTTTCATGAATATCCCTAGTTATGTTTATTGTGAATGGCTTCTTTATGCAGATGGTAAAACATTCAAGAAACCAAGGCGTCCTTATGAGAAGGAGCGTCTTGATGCTGAACTGAAGCTGGTTGGTGAGTATGGTCTGAGGTGCAAGCGTGAGCTTTGGAGGGTCCAGTATGCACTGAGCAGGATCCGTAATGCTGCAAGGCACTTGCTCACCCTTGATGAGAAGAACCCCGCCGTATCTTTGAGGGTGAGGCGCTTCTCCGCCGCATGAACCGCTATGGGCTGCTTGCTGAGGGTCAGAACAAGCTTGATTATGTCCTTGCCCTCACTGCCGAGAACTTCCTTGCAAGGCGCCTTCAAACACTTGTCTTCAAGGCTGGCATGGCCAAGTCCATTCACCATGCTCGTGTCTTGATCAAGCAGCGTCACATCAGGTATGCTTATGTGGCTACTTGTAATAAAATTGTATTTGGTAGTGTTTATCTGAAAACCTGGATTTCAATGGAAGGGCCTGATGATAAGAATATGCAAGTTATCTCACAGTACTTTTTGATGCCAAAGAAAAAAACTCTGAAGCCCATTTCCCCTTTTAATATATACGAGTATAGGGAGTAATAATGATGCTGTGTTCTGATAAATGAGTTCGTCAGTTATTATTCGCATGTCTTGTCATTTCATGATTTCTTCGTTCCCTGCTTGTCTGTAAATGCTTGTGCCAATTTGGTACTGGATTCTGGACTAGATTATATTGCCTATGTATGTCTTTCTCAAAACAGCACATTATTTTAGTTTATCTTGTTCATTGCATCATTGACCATCACCTGAATGTTTTCTCATGTCTATAAGTAATTTTGTACTCATTTCATGCAGTGATTAGAACAATAGTTTTATGCCCGTATCTGTGTTTCTCTTGAGCTGTTTCTGAAACTTTGTAGAACTAGTGATATAACTTTTTTGAAAATATTATCTTCTTTAGATTAAACTAGCATGGTTATCTGTCCCCTGAATGTATTATCTCGCCTAATGTTTCTAAACTGTATGTTAAAGTGGATATCAATGTTTCTTTCAAACTGTTCCTTGATTGAAATTTCTGTTTGTGGAACCTTGCAGGGTTGGCAGGCAAATCGTCAATGTCCCATCATTCATGGTGAGGGTGGAGTCTGAGAAGCACATTGACTTTTCACTGTCAAGCCCATTCGGTGGAGGCCCACCAGGCAGGGTGAAGAGAAAGAACCAGAAGAAGGCAAGTGGCGGTGGTGGCGATGGTGGTGATGAGGATGAGGAGTGAGGATGAACAAGTACATCATCCAATATAATATTATCTAGTTTTCATAAACATGTTCGTATCATGAGTACTTAGCTGCGTAACCTGATGCTCAGTCCCCTGTGCTGACTCTGCGTCATGGATGGTTGTCATTTTATCTTGTGTTATTAGCCTATACTTAGCTGCTATGTTTGGAGATGTTTAATCCTGTGGTTGGTTTTGACTTAAGCTCTGTTGCTATTAAGCTGTTCCTGTTTTCTTTCGGCCAACGATTTGCTGGAACATCGTTCATAATTTGCTTCAGTTTCTGGTTGTATTGATCGGGGTACATAGGGTGCTGAAAATTTTGTTGCTGTGAGAGTATTAACGACTGTTTGTGAACATTTAATGTCACCATATACTTACGTGTCGTTGTAGCATGCTGCGGTCGGATGTGGCTGTTTTGTGTTGGTTGATCATTGTAGCATGCTGCGGTCGGATGTGGCTAATGTTTTGTGTTGGTTGATCGAAGTTAGCCTTGAGTGGTGGGCAAGGGCAGTGTAGAAATGGATACAGGAGTGCTAGTTCTTTTTTAAATAAAAAAATAGATAAAGGAGTACTACAAACCTACTATGATATGATTACATTGACAAAATATCATTGCGTTGACAGTGTACTCAGTGTCATTAGTATATTGCACATGCTAATGTTATGGGTCAGATTAAGTTCAAAGTTAATTTTAAAGTACTTAGGCCCCGTTTGGAGCCGCTAAACGCAGTAAAATAGCGCCTTCAACCGCAAAATCTTTATTCGGCTTCTTCTTCTTCCTGGCCCAGAGAACTCTCACAGAAAGCTATTTTGATGGTGCCAAAACCGTGCTCTCCTCCTTCACCTATGTCATTAACTTCACTAGTGAAGTGGCACATCTGTCCTGGCACCAAGAGATACAAGCTCTTCCATGCCTGGGCACCAAGAGATACAAGTTGTGAATATGGAGAGACGAGACAAATTTCATATCGACAATGGCCAAGTGCAATCGAGCAAGCATGTAAAAATGGAGTATCATTCACTGTCAGATTAATGCTAGTGCAGCATGTAATTCCACAAATCTAATAACGTTATAAAAATCACGTTGGCATGGCATCATTCTATCATAAAAGCACGATCTTATTGCAAATTCATTAGGTCCATGACATTAGCATAAATCAACATGTCTAACTTCGGAATTTCTATATTCTTGAACCGTGACACTAGTGCTCTGGATCCTCGATAAGCACAAAGCTACAAATATAACGCACAACTTAACATGACACGGACATGAGAAATTTCATGTCGACAATGTTCAAGTGAGAGCAAGCATGTAAAAATGAAGTATCATTCACTGTCAGATTAATGCTAGATTGCAGCATGTAATGCCACGCTGGCATGGCATCATTCTATCATAAAAGCATGATCTTATTGCAAATTCATTAGGTTACTACCATGACATTAGCATAAATCAACATGTCAACTTCGGAATTTCTACATTCTTGAACTAGCGTGACACGTGTGCTCTAGATCCTCGATAAGCACAAAGCTACAGAGTATAACACACAACTTAACTTGACACGGACTAAAATTACATTTTGATTATCTATTTTTTTTATTTTATATTATTTATACTTGTAAGCTTATGACAATTGGATAGTAGATTTACTTACAAATCTAATCATATCAAGTTTGAGTTATAATAATTAGAATTTGTTCATCAAATTATTGGTCACATATTTTGAAGTTTGAATCTTAATATGTGTCTGCGCTTTATAAAAAAGAATGGAAGTAGCAGATCTGTTTTAAATTGATTTGCTTAATATAAACTGAGACATGAAGATTGAGAGTGCTTGACATGTAATAGAAATTATGTTGAAGTCATAAGGCCTGTTTAGTAGAGATTATGGGAGCTTCACAAAAGAACTACTTGAAAGCTCTAGTTTGATTTTGGTGAATTAATGAAACCCTAAGTGCTAACCTAGTTTATTAAGTGATCATGACATAGGTAGCACATTCCAAGTGACGCAAAGCAAATGAAGACCATGACATGATGATGGTGATGCCATGGTGATGATCAAATACTTGGACTTGAAAAGAAGAAAGAGAAAAACAAAAGGCTCAAGGCAAATGTATAAATTTTAGGAGCCATTTTGTTTTGGTGATCGAGACACTTAGTGAGTGTGATCACTTTTAGGATCGATAGCCGTACTATTAAGAGGGGTGAAACTCGTATCGGAATGCGGTTATCAAAATGCCACTAAATGCTCTACCTCATTGCATATGCATTTAGGATCTAGTGGAGTGCTAACACCCTTGAAAATATTTGTGAAAATATGCTAACATATGTGCACAAGGTGATACACTTGATGGTTGGCACATTTGAGCAAGGGTAAGTAACTTCACCGACGGAGTGATAGTCCGATGGTGCCACAGGTGCCCTAGACAGAAAAGACGGAGGTCACTATAAGTGACCGGACGCTGGCCTCGGTAGGACCGGCGCGTCCGGTCAGGTGGAGCATGAAGACGCTGGCTCACTTAGTGATCGGATTCGACGATATGGGTCGTCCCGGCCTAGACAACGATAGGGCGTCCGTCCGGTGGAGTCGTGGCAGACCGGACACCGGTGTCCGGTTGAGACCGGACGCCGGACGTGTCCGGTCGAGCATGAAAAGTCGCTCGGATGCTTATTGAAACGACCGGACGCTGGGGTTCAGAGTCCGGTCACTTTGAGCTACTGCGTCCGGTCGTCACTTGGCCGTTGAGATCGGGCGATCAACATTTGAAGAGAGGGGACACGTGGCACGCATCACGTTACCGGACGCTGAAGTCCAGCGTCCGGTCAATATGACCGGACCGTCCGGTCACCCCGAGCAGTGCCCAGTGAAGGGGTACAACGACTCTATTTTGTGGGGGCTTCTATTTAAGCCCCATGGCCGGCTCAAGCTCACTCTCTTGGCCATTTGCATTGACATAGCAACCTTGTGAGCTTAGCCAAAGCCCACCCACTCATCTCCATCATTGATTCATCATCTTTGTGAGATTGGGAGTGAATCCAAGTGCATTGCTTGAGTGTTTGCATCTAGAGGCACTTGGTGTTCGTGTTTCACTACGGGATTCGCTTGTTACTCTTGGTGGTTGCCGTCACCTAGACGGCTTAGAGCAGCGAGGATCGTCGAGCGGAGGTTGGTGATTGTCTCCGGCTCCAATCGTGGTGATTGTGAGGGGTTCTTGACCTTTCTCCGATGGAGAGCCAAAAGGTACTCTAGTAAATTGCTCATGGCTTGTGTGATCCTAATCTTGTGTTGGTTGTGCGGCACCCTATTGAGGGTTTGGCGTGTGATGCCAATTAGCGCGTGAACCTCCAAGTGAGTGAATCACCACAACGAGGAGTAGCTTGCCGGTAAGCAAGTGAACCTCGGTAAAAAATCATTGTGTTCATCATTTGATTTCGAGGTGATTGGTCTTCATTGATATTGATTCTTGTGATTGATTGGTTCACTTCTCGACACGGCGGTACAACTATCTTGCTATCTCTCTTTACATTACCACAAACTAGTTGTCAAGCTTTTTAGTGTAGCTAGTTGTGAGAGCTTGTTAGTTTGGTTAGTGTGGCTCTTTAGTTAGCCTTTGAGAGCACACTAACTTAGTGTAGTGACAAAGCTATTGTGTAGATAGAAACTATATAAACTAGAATTATGGTAGGTGGCTTGCATTTTTAGTAGGCTAGCGCAACATTTGCTTCGCATCATAATTGTATAACCGATTTGTTAAGTGTTGTAGAAATTTTTAATAGGCTATTCACCCCCCCTCTAGCCATTAGGACCTTTTAAGTGGTATCGGAGCCGAGGTCACCGTGATTTGAGGCTTAACAACCTTCGGTGTAAAAATGGCTCAAATCAACAACACCAAGAAGCCACCCCAATTTGATGGCTCAAATTATCCTTATTGGAAAGCTAAGATGACAACTTATATCAAGTCAATCAATAGAAAGGTTTGGAAGGTGGTAGAGACAAAGATTGAGATTGAAGATGAAGAGGCTCCCACCACCATCGAAGAAATGCTACTCCAAAATAATGACATTGTTCTTAGTGCCATCCATGATGCTTTGGATGAGAGAACTTTTGAGCAAATCAAGAACATTGAGAGAGCTTATGAGGCATGGAAGAAGTTGGAAGAATCATTTGAGGGCCACTCAAGCCATGAATGGTGCAAAGGCATACATTCTCAAAGAGAAGTTTGCAAGCTTCAAGATGAATGAGGATGAGAATGTGCCGGAGATGTTTCATAGGCTTCAAGTGCTTGTCAATGATCTCAAAGCACTTGGAGAAGAGCTGAAGGACAAGGACTTCTCCCATAAGTTCTTGAGATGTTTGCCTTCAAGATTTGGCACATTGGTCACTATTCTAGTGATGAGTGGTTTGGACACCATGACACCAAACCAAGTGTTGGGAGATATAATGATTGATGATACATATAGAGATGATGATGAGAAGGAAGAAAAGAAGGAAAAGAAAGATGAGAAGAAGGATGAGAAGAAGAAGATCGTGGCATTCAAGGCCACATCATCCAAGGGCAAGGCAAAGTAAGATACATCAAGTGAAGATGATGGTTCATGGGATGATGATGATGAGAAGAAGATAGCTCTCTTTGTCAAGAAATTTGGCAAGTTCATGATGAAGAAAGGGTACCATGCTAGAAGAAAGAAATCTTCATCCAAGAACAAGGAAGAGTCAAGAAGGTGCTTCAAATGTGAAAGCAAAGATCATCTTGTTGCTCAATGTCCATACAATAGTGACAATGATGATGACAACAAGAAGAACAAGAAGAAGGACAAGAAGGAAAAGAAAGAGAAGAAGGACAAAATGACCTTCAAGAAGAAGAAGGGTGGTTCATGTGGTCACTTGGGATAATGATGCTTCCTCAAGTGATGATGATGATGATAGTGATGACAAGACCACCAAGAAGGCACTTGCAAGCATTGCTATCAATGAGGAGCCTTCTCTCTTCGACACTCC